TTCCAGTCCGCAAAGAAATTGTTTAACAACTGAATGCTCAGAATCGTGTCAAATTGAAACCCCAGATTTTGCGATATGAAAATAAAGCGTTGCAATCACTAGGTTCACATTAAACTTTTTATTTAACTGTAATGAAGAGAAATACTTATATTTTACATTGTCTATTGCTTATTTTAATAAATATCTTTAAAATACATAATATATGTACAATTTTATATTTTTGTTGAAGAAATAGTTATATATTATGCTGTTTATTTTTGTTAAGAAATATCTTCACAAATGATGCAAACTTAATATATAACATGGGTGTCTAAACTATGACCATTTGAGGGCCACATTGCAAGGGGGAAAATTTACTGGGCTGCACATACAATATTTTTTCAACAAATTGAAATAAAAATGAACTCTATGTAGTTTTATTAAAATAAATTAACTTCTTTTTGTTATAAATTCTTAAAATTTGGATTAGATATGTATAGATTCATATTTATTTCAAATTTGTAAAAGTTTCGTTTCATTTAGTTTGGATTTCATAAAGATGAAAAAAAATTCGAATTAATTAAATGGATGTGAATTTGCTTTTGTTGAACAAGCAAATCGATACCGGATTCAATAGACGAGGTTGCAATTGTTAATGCATTTTCAACATGTTTGTCTGTGATCTTTGTCTTATTTTTGTATGTTTCATTCTTGAAAATAATTGTTCACAAATATAGATACTGCCAAAAGCTGAAGACATTAAAAAAGCATGATTGTGAAATTAGGATATTTATCGCGAGGTAAGTAATCTTTATAAGACTCCCCTAAATATATAAGGAAACATTCCCAAATTTTTCTTTCAGTTGAATGTCATTTTGCAGTTCAAGGCATTCTATTTGAAGGTAATTTATTTATTTCTTGAGGAAATAGGGTAGAAAATATGTTGAAATACTCATCATTTTTTTCAAAAATCTTGAAATCTACACTGCTGGCCACCGTAAATGCAACACCAAGAAAGACAAGAGATAGCACAACAAAATTTATTTTGTAGATAACATGTTGACCAAGTATCAAATGATTAAATTTATAGACTTCTGTGAAGTGCGGTTCCTGCCAAATCAGTAGCCAGAGTAGCCGTCATTGTTGGAGATCACCGCTGCCACACGCCTCGGCATTGATTCAAAGAGACTTTGGATGTGTTCTTGGGGTACAGCAGACCAAGCAGCTTCCACACGTTGCCAAAGTTGATCTGGTGTGGCAGCTGGGGGTGTAATCTGGGACAATCGTTGAGCAACCATGGACCACATGTTTCCTATCGGCGAAAGATCCGGAGAGCGAGCCGGCCAGGGAAGCAATTCAATCTGGTGATTGACGAAGAACCTTTGGACAATGCGTGCCACGTATGATCGCGCATTATCCTGTTGAAATATGGCTGTGGCCAAGCCCTGAAGGTAAGGAAGGACAAATGGCTCCAACACCTCGGAGATGTAGCGCTGGCTGTTTAAAGTACCGGCAATGCGTACTAGAGGAGTGCGAGAGTGATATCCAATACCAAAAAAAAAAAAAAACAGAATTGCCGAACTTGAAATCGTCGAAATCTCCAAGCCTTAAATAGTGCTTTGACGTGGCGCCACAGGCGTGCGTGATGTGTGTCTGCGCTGAAATTCTAATCATTTGCATATCTCACCTCCACTAATGCATGTTGTAAATTTCATGTTATTTGCGTGCTTCCTTCAGGGTGTTGCATTTACGGTGTTCAGCAGTGTATTTTCAAATTCTTGAATTAAATCAAAAATTAATGCAGCATATTTTGTGTAACTCACAAGTTTATGTGCAGCAAAAGCACTAAAATGTGTCATATCTTTTACTTTTATTTGATTGTGCCAAAATTTCAACTTTCCTTCAAACGCTGTTATATTGCCTGGAAGATATTATTAATAAATTGATTTTTTCCCCCTGAAGTCTCAAATTAAAATCATTCAAATGTTCAGTTAAGTCTACTAAAAAAGCTAAATCTAAAACCCAATCTTCGCCTTGAAATTCAGTCACAGTTTTCCCTTTTGTTTCCTTAAATATTTTTATTTCAGTTCTCAAATCGTAAAATCTTTGAGCAGTTTCTTCTTACTGATCCATCTGTATAATAACTAACATCTGTAAATTCAGTGCCCATTACCTTAAGAAACTCCGAAAATTGTCTATAATTACGCCTTTTGCTCTTATAAAGTTAATGGTTCCTATAACAACGCTTAGTACACTCTCCATTTTTAAAAATTTTCCTCATAAATTGCCCTAATGAACAATGCAATAATAATATTTATTATTTAAATTTTTATTTCAAAATAAGTGTCAGCTAATTGACTGTGTATGAAAAATATTGCAAACATTTATTTTTTTAGTAAAAATGTGTAAATTTAAATATTTTGATTATTTGCGCTTGGGCCGAATTTTAAAGGCTTTTCTGGCGCACTTTAGACACGCATGATATATAATAAAACTACAAATCTAAATTATTGACCCCTATTCTCAAATTCTGCATGCATTATTACGTGTATCGAATTGTTTCAGAAATGTTCTATTGTGTGGCATGCTGAGTCATATCGGTAGATTGGTTAGGCACGCCACAGCTGAAAGATTGCCGACCCCTGGTCTATATTTTACATCGCACTAGGACTTTCCAACACTTTTTTGCTTCTAAAGGTTGAAGTGTAGTCTCTAACCGCGCGTACTGGTCATGAGTATTAATATGTAGGGTCTATTTCAATTCCTACTATTAGTTCACACTCTCCCTATATATATATATATCTTGTCCAAATTTTCAATCGTTTGTAAAATAACTTCAAAAATCCAAAGTTCAAATACATTTTTTAAACTTGTTTTTTTCTCTCTAATGGGGCTGCGCGGATTTTGGTATTTTTTCCTTTGCAGACCTAGTACATTCCCCAGGAGCTGGTATCACTTTTTAGTGCCGCACCATATAGGCCCGGGTTGGGCATTACGTCGATCGCGATCGACCTCCAAGACATTTTGGTGTGACCGCCTAAAAATTTTACAAGTTAGTTATTATATACGGAAAATTCAAGATTGGCTGACAGTACACAGACTAAGCCTTCTACTGACTATAACAACAAAAGCTAACTTTAGATAAAAATGTTTTAATTTTTTAATGTATTTTGAATTGTTTCATAATAAATGTATCATTTGATATAATTATATTTGGGGCTATTATAATTAAGTTTTTATCTTGCGTTTTGCTTTATACGTGGTTTTAAAGGTGTTTTTTTTTATTTTAGTTCTGTAGGTAAGCACATATATTCCGTACTTATTATGAAGTTATAATAATAACCTTTTTTCTTTACCTCACCACACCTACGACGTTGGGCAGTAGCGCACACACGAATTTTTAAAGGGAAGGAGTCGGGGGTTGAAGGTCTACCATTTTCCTATCATACTCCAATACGCAGCCAAACATATTTTTTTTTTATTTTGTAGATTGTCGGGAACAAAAAATAGCAAAAGATAAATTACTGAATAAATAATTAACATTAATAAATAAAAAATTACTAATATCAAATACTTAATTACACTTTATGTACTATATACATGGAACTATAATGAATCGGGAAAAAATGAAGGGTTAAGAAGGAGGGTCTGGACCCGTGGACCCCTCCTCCATCCTTGTATGCGCCACTGACACTGGGTGGACCGCAACTCCTTGAAAAAATTAGAAGTAGCTCGCACCCTGGAAAAGTCTGCCCATCCCTGCTGTGCGACGTTAATATTCTCTCTCTGCCCATCCCTGATGTAGGCGATACCAATTACCGCAAGTAATTTTGACTCCCAGTTTCCTCCCCAGAGGCACCTGAGCTCTGACGATGCAAAATTGTACTCAGGAGTTTAATTTTGCCGAGAGCACCCAGGTCAAATGGGCACTCAAGGGATTTCTTACATGCTGCATAATCGCTGGACGCATCGCATGCTGCATATACGACATGGACGCTGTCGAATTTCTGCAACATGAAAATCCACCCACTTGGGCCGGAGTCGAACCCGCAACCTTAGATGCAGAAGGCCAGCAAAAACCCAACTACGCCACCCAGCCAGCTTTTTAAATTTGTAGTCGATGACACTTGATGTTAATACAGTTTTTTCAAACGTTAATTAATTAATAATTAGTAACAAATAAAAATTATAGTCCAACACCATATATAAAAAGGAAAATCGCTCGCTATGTGTCATTGTGGCTCAATGGGTGGTGCGTTGGACTTCTAATCCAAAGGTCGTGGGTTCGAATCCCACCTGGGATGGCCTAATTTCTGACAATGTGATTTCTTTTTCACTATATTATTTTAGTAGAAGTGACAAAAAATAATAGTCTAACACCATATATAGAAAGGAAAATGGAAAATTGCAAAGAAAATCGCTTTCGATTTTGCCACTTAATGTTGTGATTCTGCATATGTATATACATATTTATGTTAATTGTAGTTATTTAATAAAAAGTAACTAAAATAAAAATCTTCTTTGTTGACCTAAGTAGGAATTGACTTAATTAATTAATTAATAATTAGTAACAAATAAAAATTATAGTCCAACACCATATATAAAAAGGAAAATCGCTCGTTATGTGTCATTGTGGCTCAATGGGTGGTGCGTTGGACTTCTAATCCAAAGGTCGTGGGTTCGAATCCCACCTGGGATGGCCTAGTTTCTGACAATGTGATTTCTTTTTCACTATATTATTTTAGTAGAAGTGACAAAAAATAATAGTCTAACACCATATATAGAAAGGAAAATGGAAAATTGCAAAGAAAATCGCTTTCGATTTTGCCACTTAATGTTGTGATTCTGCATATGTATATACATATTTATATTAATTGTAGTTATTTAATAAAAAGTAACTAAAATAAAAATCTTCTTTGTTGACCTAAGTAGGAATTGACATAATTAATTAATTAATAATTAGTAACAAATAAAAATTATAGTCCAACACCATATATAAAAAGGAAAATCGCTCGTTATGTGTCATTGTGGCTCAATGGGTGGTGCGTTGGACTTCTAATCCAAAGGTCGTGGGTTCGAATCCCACCTGGGATGACCTAATTTCTGACAATGTGATTTCTTTTTCACTATATTATTTTAGTAGAAGTGACAAAAAATAATAGTCTAACACCATATATAGAAAGGAAAATGGAAAATTGCAAAGAAAATCGCTTTCGATTTTGCCACTTAATGTTGTGATTCTGCAGATGTATATACATATTTATATTAATTGTAGTTATTTAATAAAAAGTAACTAAAATAAAAATCTTCTTTGTTGACCTAAGTAGGAATTGACTTAATCCCCCCCCCCCCCCATATATTTCTTGTTTCAGTTCTTTCACAATTACGGGCATGAGATTCCATCAATTTCTTTTGGGTATGAGACTGGCAGATGTATCCCACCATTTGGCATGATAAAGCTTGCCAAGTTGGTCGAAAGCGTTACAATACGGTTATCTTGATTTTTTTTTATTGTTTAGTATTGCGGTTTTTCAGTGACTACGTATATGACCACTTATTTTCCTTGATTTATTTTTATTGTGCGGTAACCTTATTGGTTTCAAACGATTTTAATTATATTTTTTTAAAAAGTTTAACCATTTTCTCATATTAGACGCTGTTGTTATTGCAATATATATTCGTGTTCTGTCTTTGAGTGTTCTTTATCAGTGGAATAATGGATATCACAGAAATTATTGATGAGTTCCAGGATATTTTTTTTAAAGTGTACAGATGTTCCAAGTTTAATTTTTTATGGACCAAAAGGTTTATTAAATTCACACATTTGGTCAATTTTATTCGGATTTTCGCCGATTTCGGCAGTAATGAAATACGAAAAATGTGAAGGCAAAGTGATTGGTTTTTCAATCCCTACTTTTAGTTCACTCTCTCCCTGTATATATATATATATATCTTGTTCAAATTTTCAATCGTTAATAAAATACTTTCTATTCATCCATTCAAGTTCAAATATATATTTTTGAAACTTGCAGCGGGTGACACGATGTTAATACAGTTTTTTTTCAAATATTAATTCATTAATTTAATTAAAAAATGAATAAATAGTAACAAACAAAAATATATTCCAATAGCATATATAAAGAGTAAACTTGCCCTTTGTGTCCCTGTGCGCAATGGATAGCGAGTTGAACTTCTAATTCAAAGGTCATGGGTTCGTATCCCACTTGGGATGACTTAATTTCTGACAATGTGATTTCTTTTTGACTATATTATTTTAGTAGAATAATTAAATTTAATGAATGTGAATAAACACAGTAACAAACAAAAAAAAATAGTCCAACACCCTATATAGAAAGGAAAATGGTGCAAGGAAAATCGCTTTTTATTTTGTCACTTAAAATTGTGATTCTGTCTCATATGTATATACATGTTATGTATATGTATATACATGTATGTACATGTTTATATTAATTGTAACTATTTAATAAAAAGTAACAAAAATAAAAAAAAATTTCTTTGTTGACCTTAGTAGGAATTAACTTAATTTTTTTTATATTACTTGTTTCTCGACAGAATAAGAAACTTGACAGCCGAATATTTTATTTCAAATCTTTCATTCACACTGCCAAAGTACTAAATCAGACATAATTTTTTTTTTTTTTTTTTTGCAGCAAATAACGAATTTCTATCATTTGCTTTTGGTTAATGAATTATTTAACGTTACTCTTTCGATGAAATTAATTGATAACTCGGAATTTTTTACAAGCTCTTGCCGATCGGAACAGCAATGTGTTCGATGTGTTAATTGATGGTAAACATAGAGAAGATAAGGAGAAGGGATAAAGCTGTCGGAACTGACGACAGCAAAAATTGGTAAAAGAAAGTTTAATATGGAAAATTTTGTTTAAGGACAAAAGGTGTTTGGTGGAGCAGAATGTCAGACAGTGTTTTGCTTCATGGTTGTAGTATATGACAGAAAGGAGGCACTCCTTGGGCCTTTATTGAATCATGGATCGAACCAGGAACTACTGTTATTTCGAACTGTTGGAAATCACATGAAAGTTTGAGCAAAACATGTTACGAACTCTTAATAATTTGCTTTAATTCGTTATTTTGAGACCGACACTCATGTCAATTCCAGTAAAGTACCTGACATCACTTCAAAGCTTCCTTGCCTGAATATGGCTGACTAGAAGAATTTGAAGGTTACATCGCATAGTACATGTTTAGGAAAATTTATTTTCAATAAAAAAGAATGCTTTCCTCAAATTGTTGGAAATAATACGTTCCTTTAATTGGCAAATAGTTTTGGGAGGTGAGAGTAGAAAAATTTTGAATCCATAACTTTTCACAATCATCGTTTCCTTTTCCCTCTTCTTATTAAAATTTTCTTCTTTAGGCCTGAAGTTACAAACAAGAAACTAACCACTTTATTATTATTCTAATATATTCTTTTCCGCAATCCCTGATTTTCTTTTCCGACACAATTGTAAATTCCTCATACTCAATTTTTCAATTCTTACAATTAGTTCACTCTCTATATATATCTTGTTCAAATTTTCAATCGTTAACAAAAATACTTTCTATTCATCCATTCAAGATCAAATACATTTTTTAAACTTGTAGTGGATGATACCATGTTAATACAATTATTTTCAAATATTAATTTATTAATTAAATTAAAAAATGAATAAATAGTAACAAACAAAAATAACAGCCCAACACCATACATAAAAAGGAAAACAACTTGTTGTGTCACTGTAGCGCAATGGATAGCGCGCTGGACTTCTAATTCAAGGGTCATGGGTTCGAATCCTACCTGGGATGGTATAATTTCTGAGGATGAATGAAAATAGTAACGAACAAAAAATAATAGCCCAACACCATATATAGAAAGAAAAATCGCTTTCTATTTTGTCACTTAATATTATGAAAAATAAATATTAATAAACAGTATAACACTAAAATAAAAATTTTCTTTGTTGACCTAGGTAGGAATTGACTTTAAAAATAAATTTTTTTATATTACTTGTTTTTTTTATCCTGGTACTCAAATTTTTAAAAGCCATTTTCCACAAAAAATGTAAGTACTATCTTGTTATCTAATTTTTTAAATTTTAATTCAATTTTTTTTGTAAATGTATTGTTTTTAATTGCTTTGCTAAGTTTTAGTCATTTTCTTATTCTTTACACGTCTTGTTTTTAGTGTAAGGTGAATCATCTTGGAAAGAAAATTATTGGCCACCAAAAGCTTATTTGTAGCGCGAGTTTAAATTTACTCCAAATAGGCCTTTGGCGCGTAACGTATCGAAAAAGTAGTTCCTTCTTTTATGCGAGCAATTCTTTCTTTTTTTTAAATTTCGCTTTCCCTAAAATAGTTTCAGGTGCCCCCCCCCCTCTCCCTTTGTTTTATATTATACTACGATTATGAATTCAAAATAAAATTGAGAATTGCCAGATGCGGGTCTCTGTTTGTCATCTTATATATATTTAACACACTAATAAATTTATAACTAGAGCATCAATTTAAAAAAAAAGAATTCCTTTATTTTCGAATTTAAAAAAGGAATTACTTTTAACATTTTGGTAACTTGTACTTTCGCATAGTTGAATATAGAATATTATTCTTTTTACGATCATTATTAAATGTGTTTATCGGAATGATCTTAATATAGTCAAAAGAATTTGTGATGCTTTCTAAGCAGTAATTATATATTCAGAGAAATTTTTTTTGCAGAAGGTCGTTCGCACTTTATGGAAACGACAGTTAATTTTTATCAATAAATACCATATTTTTTGCGGAAATTTGCTTCTATATGACAGCCATGATTCTTTACAATAGCTCTAGCTCGAATTTTTCATGAGAGTAAACTATTTCTTAGCACTGGCATGTAAATTTTACTCCATTCCTCTTGAACCGTTTTCCAAAGTACGTTCAGTGTTCTTGGATGCCATTTTCCTAAGGCTCGTTTTAATAAACCGAAAGCACAAAAGTCCATTTTAGAAGCGTAAGGTAATTTTACACGTATTTCATCAAATGGGATACACTTTATTCCTGTTTCTGATTCTTTCTTTGCTAAATAAGCGCCAGTTGATTTAGACGTGTGACTAGAGGCTTTGTCCATATGAAGATCAACTTTATCAACGTCCTTTCCATATATAGTTGGAATTTCTTCTACAAAAATAGGTTTTGAAATATTCCGCTGACAGTAGAATGAATTACTTTTCGCTTTACTTGAGACTTTTTTTGATTTTTAATTTGCCGTTGTTAGAAAATCCTACAACTATCATGGATCCCTTTGGGAACTTTACTGTAGACTGACGAGCCATATCGTACAGTCATTCCCGTCAGTTGAGCAATAGAACATTGATCTTCTTTTACTACAGTCATTTAATTATCCCCATACCTCATCAAGTGTTACCTCAAAATTTCATTTTTCAGCAGCTAGGTGTTTTTTTATATACACAGTCCAGTCACATTAATGTGACCACCTGTCAAAAGCCAGCATAACTACCTTTCGCAGGTCGGACTGCTGTGAGACGTGCAGGAAGAATCAGTTAAGTTCCTGATGGTGTTCACTGGGATGTTGAGCCATGCCAACTCCAGTGCCGTGACCAGCTGCTCTAGATTACGCGGGTGAGGATTCATGGCGTGAACAACCCAATCGAGATGGTCCACAGATTCTCGATTGGGTTTAAGTCAGGAGAGTTTGCTAGCCAGGGAGAACTGTAAACTCATCCTGGTGCTCATCGAACCACGCACGTACACTGCCAGCTGACACATCGCATAGTTCTGCTGGTAGATGCCATCATTCTGAGGAAAAACAATAGGCATATAAGAGTGGACAGAGACAGATTAAGCGGCGGGTGGACCCGGCAACTGTCAGGGGCCCCGAGCTTGATGGACTCGTTATAAGTTCAACGTGCAACAAAAAGATCTTGTATCGATTTTGCAACCCCGATGATTACCACGGATGAGTCGTGGAACACAACCCAAGCTACATTTCTTCCGTATATCTGTATAATTGAAATTAGAACACAATTTTTGTGGGTTTTTTTAAGTGAAAACTTCTTTAGCGGCGTTTGGCATTTTTTGG